ATGTCTTCACACAAAGTATGAATCACCTGTTAATTTTGCATGTAAGGAATACAAATATTAGAATAAATATATTTCTTTTTATTGACAGGGGTTTATTCACTGTTCTGTCTTTATGTATTATATCTGTGTTATTATTTACACAAGGAAGTTAGACTTGGAATCTCTTCTGTATTGGTACTTCTTGTTTCATCAGAATGCATCTTTTTAATACCTATTTTCTAACAGAATTAGAGAACACTGAATCAGGATTGATAGCATAATCCATATATCCACTTATGGTAGTTTAAACACCATTTGTGGAACTTTATAGCAAGGGTGATTTCTTGCTATAAAAACTTTCATCGATCACAGTTCATTTCATCAGATAAATGTAGTCTATATTTATCATGTAGTCTATTACAAATTGGGTAATAATTTATCAATTGAAGAATTCAATTTTAATTTAAGATGAGAAGAATTCAGTTTTTTCTCAAAATGATTAAGGTGGTGCTCCACACTGATTAGTTTAGGACAAGCACATGTAACCATGCAGAGGAAGGAAGTGGCACAATGAGGGTGCTTATGATTATCTAGAATTGATATAACTTTATTTAATATGAATATACCTACAATTGTCAATTCAGCTCTTTGAGCAAACAAAATAACTTAATATTTATATACATTAAATATATAATGTACATTTTGGAAAATATTTATTGTAAGAATCATAAAGTAATATGAAGTGCATATTACCTCTTATAGCTTAGATGTTCATATTGATGTTTATAAAATAAAAACACTTCTGACTCCATTGACACAGTTGCCCTGGATGTAAATTAACCCAAATCCAGCTTTGATACTTCTTTCCAAATAGACAGTTTTTTAAAAACTTAAAAAAACAATCTATCCAGCAAATGTAATTGCAGTTGGCAAATTCTTAAAATATTTGTTTTAAAAATAGTATTTATCTAACTGTGTGCAAAAATTATGGCCAGGTGCCAGGAAAAAAACATTAAAAGTTTGCAGCAAGACACACATTACATCCAACTGGGAGGACGAGTTCAAAACACCATGAATTTCTATGCAGAAGATATAATACCGTAAGAAACTCTTACCACATACAAAGTCTTGTATGTAGCATACATGCAAATGTGATAGGAAGCCAGAACTAATTGGAACTTCTCACTATCTATAGATAATCCGTCATTTTATTGTGGTCTCAGACTAGTACAAGAAATGTGTCTATAAGTTCTATACTATACTAGAACTATAAATTCTTAACTCCAGTTTAAGAAACTAGTAAATAAAAATTTAAGACATAATTAAAATACCTCTATAAAACAGCTTAATACTCCTGACTGAAACTAAAGAATCACCTCTTCCCAGTTACATCTATCTGTCCCATCAGATCTGGCAGGAGAAGCATGTTACAGAGCCTGTCAGTTGACATTCCATAGTTGACAGGATCCAGCAGCCTTTTCTGCTATGGCACCTGTCTTTTGGAATATCATTCCTTGGAACTTAGATTGGCCCCTATCCTTCTGGCCTTTAGAGAGGTCCTGAAGACCTGACTGGATCACTATGCTTTGGGGCAGGGCTCTCCAACCTTGGCAACTTTAGAACTTTCAGTCCCAGAATTCTGGGAGTAGGATTCTGGGACTAGAAGTCCACAAGTCTTAAAGTTGCCAAGGTTGGAGACCCCTGCTTTGGGGATAGAGGTAATGGTGAGCTTTTCCAGTGGCTTTACTGAATGGGATGTATTCCTGATAACTGTAATTATGTGTAGGTTGAATTGAGTTTTTAATAGTGGTTTTAATATAGTTGTATGTTTGTTGTTTCTATTTATAGTTTTATTGTTCTCGTCATTTTTAATTTTTAAAAGCCATTCAGAGTCATATATGGGAGATGGGTGGCTATATAAATTTAATAAATAAATAAATTCAAAAGAAGCAATCTATTTAGGCCTAAAATTATGAAATGTGACAATATTTAAAGTTACAAAAATCTGAATTTCAATCTACAATTTAGAATGGGAAAAACATGAAAAAGTATTGAAAAATGACAAAAAAGAACAATTTTCTTCATTATACATCATTTGAAAGCTCAAAATAAAAATGCTTCCAACACAACATGAATTAAGGCCAGGAAGAAATATTAGAAAGAGAATGGCCCTATCTTGATTTTCTCTGGTACAAGAAGGATGGAGGGAAAACACTTTCAAAAGTCTGTTAGCAGAACCTATAAATAAAGTTCCAGTATTTTCTATGGAGTCTGCTTCTTGATCTGACCTACCTCAAAGTGGTAACACCATGCTTGAAGGCATGGCAATATTTTCCCTTCCTTTGTCTTACACCAACAACAGTTAATGCAGTCAATTTAAATTTCTGTCTACACTTTCTTCCTTTCCTGGGTTCATGTTTTGCTAACTGCCACATCTCCATGATCTTATTTATGGTTCTTTACAATTTTAATAAAAAGGACAGAAATTGTTTATTCACAACAATGACAAACCATCAGAGATTTACATGACAAAGTTAGAAATAGATGACCACCTTCTTTACTTGAAACTGAATATCACCATGGGACTTGACTAACAAGACAAGGAGTAGAATAATTATATACTCTAACTGGTCTGACTACATCTCTACTGGGACTGGAATGAAGCTCAGACATGGTAGGAGATGTAGTAATAAATGTGTAACATGTAAAACTAATTTCAAATACTAATACTATCAGCAAAAGTATGATCAAGAACAGGCAGAAAGTAAATTGTTTCATGCTTATGATGGGCAATATGTAGACTTCATATTCATATTGTAATGATGGGACCTTTGGACTCAAAGACCCATTTTTACAGTTACAAAAATTAATTTCATGACATATACATTCAATTTTTTAAGAAACTGTATCAAGCAAAATGCCTTATATAAAATATGTGGAAAAATCAGAAAAAAATCAGGTTTATTTAAACAAATAAATTTATGGCATTTATAGACTGACATAATCTTCTAACAATTCTGGGCAGCTTTCGAAATATCTGACGGAAACATAGAGACTAGAGAGAGAGGAAATGTAGCCTTTCAAATGTGATGAATCACAATTCCTTTTAGCTGAAGCTAAGGTAGCCAATGGAAAGAAATGCTGGCAGCTGGAATTTAAGAACATTTGAAGATCATATGTTTGCCATTCTTGTGGCATTTTTGCTGCTTTATCATCAAACTTTAGAGCTAATAAGCTACTTTACATGGGGCTGCTGCAAAGGATGAAAAATGGTCATGTAACTTTTTTCAGTGCTGTTGTAACTTTGAGCAGCACTAAATGAATGGTTGTATATCAAGGACTATTTGTAACATTCAACGATGTCTGATTATAGGATCAGAATGTGCTAATACAGACAGCAAGTATGCTACAAGCTATATGCCAATATTAGGCATTCTTTATGTAGTGATTGTATATGCAGAAAAATGAAACATTAAAAGAACATTCACCCTTTTCTGTAACTTTGTAAATAACTAAATCCCACAACTTCAGGAATTTAAGGCTTGTGAGAAAAAATCAGCACCAGCAAGATGAATGGAAAGTAGTTTCACATCAGAAAACTGTAGTGGTCAGGTCATGATAGCATCATACTTTCTGCCTGCCATCAACAACTTTTAAACTTCCAACGTATTTCAATTGCAAAAAGTGTCCACATTATAGTATTACAAAGACCAAAATATAGAACATTTCTGTGTCCATGTACGCATGGTTGTGGTTACACATATTTTGTCCATGATTAAGAATATTAATGTAGGCATATATTATAGTTTCCCATAATGTAGGGCAGAAAAAATAATGATGTATCAAGTTTTATTTCAGAAGCATTATACCCAGAAAACATCCATGAACCAGCCTTAACCCATTCACTTCAATCGTATTTATAATGCATATAAGTCCTTCATTCTTGCCACTCCATCATTCTAACTCTAACTCCTTGTCATTCTACTGGAAGTTGCCAGAATTGTTGCTTCAGCCTCTTATGGTTACTCTTCTCTTTATGTTTTTAATTTTGAATAACTGCTGAGCAAAAACAAAAAAAGGACAAATACTACTGAAAAAACAGCAAGCCCTGCACCAGCAATTACTAAACCCAGAAAGTATTTGCCACACTAAAGGACATTCAACATTAAATGTTGTAAAAGGAAGCTAGCCTATCAATGAATACAATGGCTGGACAACATCAAAGCTGACACCAGCCAGAGCATAGAAAAACTCAAAAGTAGGGCAAGGTTGGAAGGTATGGAGAGACCTAGCTCATAGAATCGTCAAGAATCTGGCACGACCCAATCATGTCATTTGTTTTATTCATTTTATATTACTTTTTACAGGTGCTATACTTTTATGATCTATCTTATATCTATTTTACTTGCTCAATGTTGAAGGTTGTATGTCTATAATTTGAAGATGCTTCTGACACCTATAAAGAAACATTACATTAAAAAAAACCAGCCCCTGCATCGACTCCAGATCCTGACTTGTAACTTGCACTGATTTCAATGCCTGTTCTTCTCCAGGGGACTTTAAGAGAGCTGAGAACTAACGTGCAAAGAGTGTCCCTATTGAGCAGTTCCCCCACCCAGGACTGCTGGAGAGAATTGAAAAAATAAATGAGGATGTTGATTTGTTTGACAATATGAGAAATTAGATAATCACTAAATTCTGAATATGGGGATGAAGCACAAAAGATTTGTAACCGACTGACACACTGTTTGCAATTGTAATAGATGATGGATTTGTTTTATGTTTTGTTTAAAAAAAAAATTCAAAAAAAAAAAAAAGAAAAGAAAAAAGGGAAGGCTAGCACGGACGATCTCTGCCCCGGCTTCCCGACAGCATCCTTGGAGGATCCACCATCCATCCATCCATCCATCCTCCTCTGTAGCGGGAAGGGAGAAGGGGCGGGCCAAGGCAGGCGCTCGCGCTCTACGTCGTGTGTCCGTTCCTCCCCCACCCCCCACCCCAGCCCGTCCCTCGACACCTACCATCATCTCCTTGGCAGCGGCCGCCACAGGGATGGGCTGCAGTCCTCGGCCTTGGCTCGGCGGCCAGGCTTCTCCTCGCTCCCTCCGGCTGCCGAGCCCCAGCGCGGGGGGCGACTGGTGCGGCCGGCGGTCGTAGTAGTGATAGCAGGCGAGCCAAGCGAGCGCCCCGCCAGCAGCCCCCGCGGCCGCGATGCTCAGCCCGCTCGGGGTCCCCTCGCGGCCGGAGCCGGCGGCCTTCAAGCCCCACAGCGGCCGGCGTGGGGCCGCCTCCGGTGGGAGACGACAACGGCGCCAGCCCAAGAGACTTCGCAGCGCCGCCATAGAGCCGGGTCCGCGGAGTGACAGGGCGAGCGAAGGTGCTGAGGCGGCAACAGCAGCCGCGGCGGGGAAACATCGCGAGAGCGCCACGAGCTGCCAAGCGCGAGACGAGGGACTCTGCTTCCAAATGCCACCTACCCCTCCCACCCGGGCTGGCCTCGTGTCCCTCCTTCCGTTTGGACGGTTGTCTGTCATCCCCGCAGGTTCCTTATCTGGGAGTTGCTGTTTGTGACGGCTCCGGATTGCCCAGGGCTGCAGTGCAGTTCTCTGCCGGTTGGCATCGCGAGGTGCCTGCGATTGCAATCTGGATTGTATCTTCGGAAGCAATCAGTGATGGTTGCGAGGCTTTCTACTAACACAACGCATTCCCTGTAATTTTGTCTTCCTTTGCTCTGCATAGTCTGAGCTGATAAGGGCATAAGGATTAGTTGGCTGGTTCAGGCCCACCGAATAGTCTAGCACAGAGTGGTCCAATTAAAGAGAGAACTGGCCTCTCTTCTCTATTATAATTCTGTAATGCAGTTGAATTCAGTCAATACAATATTTCACTAAGAAAAAGGGATAAGTCCCAGGGCTGCTCTTATAGCAGGAGTGACCTAGGCAATTGAAGCTTGTCACCTAAGCTTTTCGCTTTTGAAATTCTCTTCTAGACCTGCAGAAACATGGTTCTCCTTTGCTTTTGGCTGTGCACAAGCCAGAAAGAGAGCCAGTTTGGTGCAATGGTTAAAGCTTCAGGCTAGAAACCAGGAACTTAAAGAGTTCTAGTCCTGCCTTAGGTGCTAAGCCAACTAAATGGCTTTGGCCTGGTTATTCTTTCTCAGCCTTAAGAAGAAAGGGGCAAAGAGGTTCTGAAATCTTGTCAAGAAAACTGCAGGGAATTGTCCAAAGACTTCCCAGGAGTCAACAGTGTCTGAAAATCCCTTCCCACCTTCCAAAAAAAAAAGTAGAAATCAGAATCTCCTAAAATAACGGTCAAGACCATTCTGCCACCATCTGCAAGTGTTGTTGAGAGTTATTTCCTTGAGTGGAGAAATTCTATTTAGATACAGTAGTAGAGCAACCAGAAGAATTTATTCAATTCATTTTAAGCGGCCGTCTCACAACTGTGTATCAATGAATGGGCTCTGGTTAAATTACTTATTTGGAGTCCATTTCTAATCCATTTCAGACATGCACACCAGGCTGCATTCTTTTACTGGCTGAACCAATCAATATTTAAAAACTAAAAAAAAATATTTATTTAGCAAATGTAGATTTATATAGTGAATCCTAACAGTAAAAGGAATATTATTATGACTATTATATTTTATCCCACATTTTTCTATAAGTCAAGATAGCAAACCTACCTAATTTTCCTGCCTGTAATGTTCCCTACAACCACAAACCTGTGAAATATGTTGATCTGAGAGAGAGAAAAGGACTGATCCAAAGTCATCCAGATGGCTTTCATGCATAAAGGAAGTCCTAGAACTCAGTGGTGTGTGTGTGTGTGTGTATACATCCTTGTGAATTTTCCATATGTTTTTTTTTCTGTCTTATAATTGTATGAATTATAAAAATAATATCAAAAATTAACTTGAACATGAAATTTGCACTTCTGAATACATATCAATCAAGAAGTAAACTGTGATGGATCTTCCTTTCAAGTTGGATGTCTTCATAATGAAGTTAATTACAGTAGGACTTGCAGGATAATTTTCTGTTTAATAGAAAGAAAGCAGATCTGCAATTACTTATATATTAGTATTTCTTAAGACCGCCTAATTAAAATTTTTGCTGAAGAATAAAGTTCATTTTAATCATATAGTTAAGTACAAGAATCCAGCTTAATTGAAGATACCATTGTTATCATTCTAGCTCAGAAGCTCCCAACTTTGGGGCACCAGGGACCGGTTCCCTGGAGAAAGGGAACCGGATCAAAGGGGGTGTGGTTTCATGTGCTGCCTGCATACTACAGATGGGTTGTTTGCGCAGCCCAGTTTCTGGAATGTTGCAGCCCAGTGCCGGTCCACGGACCTGGGGCCGGGGACTCTGTTCTAGGTAACATCTAACATCTTTAGACTGAAATAAAGCAAAGCAAATGTTTGAATTGTTTTCAGGGAAGTTTTGAGAACATATATTAAAATATTTGTATAATATTAATATAGTTAAATATGTAGATATTATAAACATTGTAGTAGCTTTGGTTTTTTTTTTAAATAGGAACTATCTGGTAGACATGGATAAAAATACTGTAGGGGGCGATATTGAGCACCTGGCAAACTCCTGCTTAGACAGGTTATATTCGAACGAACAGGTCACAGATTCTGTAGGCTTACTTGCTTGATGATGATCACAGTGCTTCTTAATGTAATTATTATAGATGTGTATGCTTTCTGTCTCATCACAGATGTACCTGTTGAAATGTTGAAGACCTTGAGACCTTATATAATGTTTTTATATGGAAATATCCACAAATGTTTTTAGGAAAAATGTGATAACATGAATGTGTTGCATCCAAAACAGATTAAAAAGATCTATTTGGATTTAATGTCTTTCTAACCATTGACATACTCAGTAAGTATGGGGAATTAGATCCCACCACAGGTTTGCCTTATTGTCCAACCTTCTCCCTATCTGATTGGATGAACTCAGTAAGTAGAAACTAGAATGCCTTCTTCCTTAAAGCCACCAACTGATGTTAAGTGATTTTCAAAGAGCAGCTGTTTTCAGGACTTGAAGCATTTTGCAGGTGTTGCTCTCTTGAAGCTGACTTTGCTAATTGAATGTATTTTTTTCACCGGCAAAAAACTTCAAGGTGCAGGAAAAGAAGCATAGAATGGTAGAGCTTTAAATAGCTATTTGCTGCAGGAGACACAGCTTCAGGGTGATAGAGGATTCCCACTTGACTTTTGTGGGCCAAAAGTCTCTTGTAGAACATCAATTGTCCTGAATTGCGGGAACATTCCAAAAATAGCCTTTTTGTGTTTCTTTTATTGCATGCACATTAGAAATCCAGAAGGGCTTTTTAGGGAACAAAGTCAGGCTTTACAGAAGTACAGGAATTTCCATACATTGCTATTGAGTTGAAAATACTGCAGGATCCAATGTGGGTCGGTCACCAGGACCAGAGGTTTAGTCTTCTGAGCTTTCGGACTCATGCTAGAGCCCATTTTCAGGGAACTTCTCTGTAGCAGAATGTGTGCTTTGGGCTATTCTGTGTTTGGTGGTAATTATAAGGTGCCTGTTGTATGTGGCTTTTTAGATGCTGATTGGGGTTAAAATACTGTACAAGTTAAAATTTTGTACAGTTAAAATACTGTGCAAAATATATTAGCTATCATTTTCTGCATGTTCATTTTTATATTCCTTTCTTCTTTGAATTTATAAGACTAAAGAATTTTCATCTAGACATAAATGTGCAGATTTTCTAGTTACATACGTTTCTGTTTTTGATTTTCCTTTGAGACCATTGCTATCATTGAAATACCAGCTTGATATGATGTAATAATAACTCCTTTGTAAGCATGCTAATTGTCATTCTCAAATTAGGAATGCTTTCCCCTTATCTTTCTAAACTGAAGAATGTCACCAAAGCATAGAATCTTTGAGATTGTATACTTCTTAGACAATATCTAGTTACTCCAGGGCTTATATGAGCATAATAATTAGTTACATTGTGAGTTTTTTTTAAAAAATGGACAAGATTGTTTCACCTATATATTTGTTTAACACTACTGAAAATGTTCTAGGAAGTAAAAAGAAAATGATTAGATTGCAGGATATACTTAAAAGTAGAATAATGTACTTTGAACAACACTCTTTGAATATATTTAACTTTCCATAATAGCAATACAGAAAGAAGAAAAAAACTTTCGGTGTTATCTTTTCCTGTCACATGATTAATGCAAACAGCAAGGTGAAAAAAGAACCTTATCATGTTTTTCCCGGTACTTGATAAAATGGCATAACTGCTTCCGAGCTTCAACATGAAAGGTAGCGCTTGAAAGAAGTCAGTTTGTTTTGTATTTCACTTTTGCTGCTATTCTAAGCATCTTGATATTTGATTAAAGGAGATTATGTTGAGCTTGCAATAAATGTAGTTGCCAATTGTGTTTTTCAGAGACTTCATCAATACTGGCTAAGTAGACTATGGTTTTCCAACTGATTACTATCCAATGAGAAAGACTGACTTGCTAATCCCAATATATGCCAAACATCTGATTCAAGCTAAAAAAAATGCACATTCTTTTGTGTGTAAACCATATGGATTCATTTTTTTACATTGGCCTTTCAATCTTCTTTCTACATATTTGGGAGTTTGACATGCATTAGCAGTTTGACCTCAACATTAATTTGGTGGTAATTTTGGTTACAGTTGAGAAGCTTCAGCTGGAGCAGAACAGCTGTTTTGTCAGCAGACATCCATTATATTAGTGTGTTTGTGTTTTGTATCTAGTTCAAACTTTGATATATAAGCAAGATTGTCTAATGTGTCTATAAGATATTGCTCCCTTACCTTTACCTAACACAATCTCTCCATTTAACAAAAACATCCTTTCAGTAATACTATCAGTTTAGACACTAAGTGCCTATATTTAATCACACACCTGTATGTGGTGAAGAGGTTTATGAACCCAATAATGTTAGAAGCTATATCGTTGGGAAACTACTCCCAGAAGTATGGCATAATAGATGAATAAGGGGATTAAAATGATTCATTGGAGGAGGATTTGACAACCTACTCCATATGAATACCATTAGTACACGGAACCAACCAAAAATACCGATGGTGAACAACTTGCAAGATTCCAGTTAAATTAAAAAAAAGGCAAACAAAATAATCAAGCCAACAATATATGGTATCATTTATAATTCATATGTATGTGCATTGAAGATAAAGAACAGATTTAATGGACTAGATTTGATAAACAGAGCCATAGAGTCATTTTGAAACAATATGGACGGCATAAATTTAATAAATAAGAATTCAATTCTGAAATTGCTTTACAGTTAAAGACAAAGCAAACAATTTCATTGTATACATGATGTACAATGACAATAAAGGCTATTATTATAACAAACAGCTAAGAGCCTGGTGGCGCAGCAGACTAATAGCCTGTTATTAACATTCAGCTGCCTGCAATTACTGCAAGTTCGAATCTCCCCAGGCTCAAGGTTGACTCAGCCTTCCATCCTTTCTAAGGTAGGTAAATTGAGGATCCAGTTTGTGGGGGCAATAAGCTCACTTTGTATAAATATACAAAAGTATGAAGGCTATTGCTAAATGCATTGTAGGCCGCCCTGAGTCTCTGGAGAAGGGCAGCATATAAATCAATTTTTTTAAAAAAATGAAAAGAAGGTAAAATGGCTACCTGCTGATATATCAGAATCAGGTGAAGAAAGGTGGAAAGCAAAAGGCAACAAAGATTTAAGGAAAATTTTTCCAACACTTACTGAGAAGAGCAAGAAGAGGTAGAGGTTATAGCTAAATCAGCAATGCACAGCAACAAAATAATTATCAGGTGGGAA